ATCCCTTTGCCGACATCAACGCGACCTGCTGCAGCTGTTGGTGTGTCCGCGATCTGGTTCTGCTAGTGTCCCGTTGAGAACCTCCTTCACGGCTAGCTTCTTTTTCTTTCGAATAGCACTCTCTTAGATCTTTTTTCCTTTTCTCTCTGAAATCCCTAAATCCCAACAACCGAGCAGAGCTAATTTCTTTTTGCTCTGTCTCATACATCTCCCCTGTTTTACCCATATCCTGCTGCACCGGGTGCCCTGTTTCCTGCACTACAAGCCCACTTACACACGGGCCCCTCCCCTTCTCAACTTCTAGCCTTTCACACGAAGGCTCCTTCAAGCCCGTTTCAACTCCAGGCCCATCTGGCCCATCCTCCTTTTCTCTACCCACTTCGTTGCCAGCCTGTCCGTCAACTGGGTTTGAATACAAAATCCCCTCCTCGTGTAACCGATCCTCATCACTATCATCTTCATCAGTGCCACGAATCACGTCAAGCCTTAATTCATGATCCTCCTCACCATTAACCGACAAGAAAAATTCGGAACCTGACTCCGATTCTGTTTCCGGCGCATCCCGTCGATCTTCATCAGCCAACCACCAGTCCGGGTCGGCGCGCCATTCTTCCTCCGCTATCCTGACCTCAAACATCTCATCCTCCACCTTTAACTTAATAGTTTTGGAAATTTTGTGATTATCAGAACTTAAAATCAATACTCGTCCATCACACAAAATAGACTTCAATTTGTATCTTGGTGCACCATCACCACTTCCCCTACAGAACTTCCTATCGTCTCAAAGCATCGGTCACACCATGCTTTCAACGGAACTCCCGAAACTCGTAGCCAAACCATACGAGCACTCTGCTGTGTAGCCATTGCCCATGGATTAATATCCTCACACCAAAGATCAAATAAATCCTTATGTTGTTGTAGATACTCACCCAAGACTCCCTTCGAACGCTCAGTAAGCAATAAACTCCGGCCACCCAGTGGTGAGATATTGATCAAACCTCCGTCCACATCTATTCTCTCTTGAATAGTAGAGATCAGTGACATTGATCTTACCACTGCCACCATACTCCCCTCCAACCACTGCTTTTCCTCATGTAATGGAGCAAATTCAATGATCTCCTCCCTCATACTCTCCACCATTACATTTCCCGTCTTAATTGCTGCACCACTCACTGCAGGGATTTCCGGCATCATCTGATTGCTAGAGACTCTATCCACTGCTTCTCCTTTCGGCAGCCCGTCAACTGTCTTAATTAGAGCCTGATCCTCCCCTGCCTTCGAAGAATGACCCAGAACTGCCTGAACAAAGGACTTCCCTGGTTGTACATATCTTTGTTCTCTAATATTTACCTGCACTCCTGCCTTCCCCTGAATACTCAGCCGATGCTGTCCCCTATCTACCGCTAATCTAACCCTTAGCTTATACGATCCAATCCATATCCTATTCAGCTTCTCCTCCACTTGTTTCACATCTTGCACCCCTTCCATCCTAACGAAGCCGAACCGTTTCCCCCTTCTATCCCTCTTCCCTGGCACAAACACATCAGTCACCTTTCCATACTCCTGAAAACGATGCCACATAGCCTTTGCATCCCAACTCTCTGGAAAATTGTAGAAGAAGAACGATTCCACCTGTCCCTTTCGCCAGTACCCATACTCCGCGAACCTCCGGTTGTACCCTTGCCGCCTGCTGCCGCTGCCCCAAGACGCGTCGCCTCTCGCCCTAACCCTAGTACTCGCCATCAGTGCCTGTGTCAATCTAAAGATCCTTATTATTATTATTATTATTATTAATACAATTAGAAGATTAAAAATAAAATTATAAAAATTTAAATTTTAAATTTTAAATTTTTAAGTATTATTATTTTTTCAAAAAAATTATAATCATTGAATTATAATGATAGTTGAATATAACGTTTCAATCAATCATGTTCTTTCAAAGAGAACATATAAAATTCCCTCTTGGGTGAATTTTATTTGTGGCTCCAATATTTTAAAACATTAATAATTTTATGCATAATCTTTTTTTTTAATGAATGTATACCTTTATTTATTTTTTACTAAATTTCTTAATATTTAAAGTTACATTGGGTTTAATTAATTTAGAGTCAAATCTCGTTAAACCTCATAAAAGAAGAATCTTTCATAGTGTCTATCTTTCAATATATAAGATTTAAATTTGAAACTTTATTTAAGTACAATCGAACTTTTTTCACCAAAACTAATAAGTCATTAATTATATCTCTAATTTTTTAATATATCTAATGATAAATTATAAATTACAAAAAAGTGTTATACTATTCAATTTGATATAAACAACAAAATTATAATTATTAATAATAAAAGAGAACCCTCTAAATATTGAACTTTCTTTCTTAAAATTAATACTCAATTTGTTATAATTTGACTCAAGTCGCACTACAAAACATCATTCTCTATGAATAAGGTAATATGGGTACCCCTCCACTTTTATAAATCTCGTAATCACAGCTCGAATATGTTTTTAGCCGTTCTTTGAATTGTTAGCCAATTGTCCTGGATTAAAGATTAATGACTCAATTGAAATCCTATCATAAGCTCAGGGACATATTTGACATTCTTCACCTTTACTTATTCGAGGAGACCTTTTGTTTTGTGGGGTCCCAAGACAGAACCTCATCTGATTTTATGATTAGAGAATGCCGAATTATAGAAATATTGGTAAGAGTTTTAAAGTTGGTAATTGGAGGTTATTTTTTTAAGAAAAATGATTTAAAAATAATTATTTTATAATTTTTTAAATGACTTTTATATAATAAATAGATAAATTTATTTATTTAAAATTTATGATATTATATGTATTATTTATTATATAAAAGTTATATAAAAAATTATAAAATAATTATTTTTATATCACTATTATTATTGTTTTTAACTCCACAGTGGTTAAGGTTAAACTGCAATTTGATGGAAAGTATTTTAGATTTTCCATTGGGAATAATGATTTTTTTTTAACTTGTGGGATGCAAAAGTCGTGTTTCGACGACTTGAATGCTTTCTTTATGTGGTCATCTTGACAATTGAGGAAGAATGCATTGAAGGTGTTTGCTTCATTACCTCTGAGAATTACCCACCTTGAATTGAAGTGCTAATTGCTATCAGTGTAAAGAAATTTTTTTGTTATCATTAGTTTTCTCTCCTACTCAAGCTTTAAGAATGTTAAGAGCAAAACTCGACTTACTTTTCAGTTTTCAGCCTCATGGTACTTGTTTTCTCTTTCTTTCCTGATGCTTGTATGGCTGGAGCCAAATACAAGCCTTGTCTCCCTTTTTCTACTTGTGGAAACCTCAGTATTACATACCTTTTTCGATTAAATAGCGATCCTGCTCTGTGTGGTGAGCCAGGGTATAAACTGGTATGCAAGAATAATCGCACAAACTCTGGTCACAAAACAGG